GTTGCAGGATGCTAAAAGGAGTCTCCAAAGGACCCTTAAAATTTCTACTCATCTATTTTTTGTGTAATGGTTATATCATCACACCAGAACATTATAGAAAAGTCCACAGTGTACATGTGATAGAATTGGAGTAGAAAAGTCAAATAATCTCCTGGTATTATCAAGAAAATACTTTTAATCGCATAAACCCTAGGAGATGGTCTACACTTTGAGAACCGTCATCCTACATTGGGCTGCCTCTGTGTTACAAGAAAGATTCCACCTGCTATTTATCATACCAACAATTCAGATATCACAATGTAACATTAAGCCTAGATCTGCAGGAATTCAAGACAGAATCAGAAAATCTGAATTTGTATTCTAATACCACCACTTGAAAGCGAGGTAGCCTTGGGAAAATTATTTCATCTCTCTGAGCCTCTGTTCCTCCAAGGGTACACATTTCATTCTAACCACAGCTACAGGAGCTAAAATTAAATGGCATACAAATTAAGAGGAAATATCCACCATGGTTTCTAGCCTGCAATAGGGGTTCCATAAACATATGTAGAATTTCTAAGCGTCATTTGACTCCCATGTGGAATAAACAAAGTGAAAAGAAAAACAAAAACTGTAAGAAAGAGCCTTAATTTACTTCCCTTAGCAGCTCAACAATGTTAAATGATTCAAATCCATCTGATTGCAATTCTTTGAACTTCTGTGCCTGACGTTATGTTCCCGAGAAGAGCTCTGAAGAACTATTGTTTTTCAGTTCCTCCACCTTTGATGAAATACATCCAACACTTTTACTGGAAAATGTATGTTGTCATTGCAAAGTTGAGAATCCCAGGGGTCTCCAGTCATCTTAAGCACTATAATGGAATTTTCTATACAAGCCTATTTCACTTTGTTTTTTAATACCTAACTACATGTTCTAAGCATCATTAGAAAGGTGTATGTATATGGCAAGGAGGTGATGTATGAGATCACGAAATCAAGTAAGTAAAGGAAAACCTTGGGAATCATTTGTTTAAATCAGGGGTTGGCAAACTTTTTCTGTAAAGGACCAGACGGTGAGTTTTTAGCCTTTGTACACCATATCATCTTTGTTACAACTACTCAACTCTGCCTCAGTACTAAAGTAGCCATGAACAATATGTAAATAAACCAACATAACTGTGTTCTAATAAACCTTTTTTACAGAAACCCATGGTGAGCCACATTTGGCCCATGAGTTCTCGTTCGCTGACCCCTGATTTAAAGGATGACACCAAAAGTGAATTTTTTTTTTTAATACTGATCTATCCCTCAACTCTTCTAGGTGTGTTCTAAAATGGCCTGGAAAAATATCCAGGCAATTGAATCCAAACCAACTTGGGACTTGGGTTGGAGGATCTTTCTTCCAGCCCTGAATTAATCAAGAACTTGTTTCTCTTTGACCTAAACTCACGACAACTCCACAAGGATGAGACACCAGATTTCCATTTATCTTCTGGTTTTATCACAGCTGTGCCACTCCTGTCAGCAAAACTCCGAGACTGTCAGCATTTTCATTATAATGCTAGCATCCCAGGAGGTTATAAATCTGCCTAAGATAGCCTGAGCTAAAACTTGGCATGAGCGCTTCTAGATCACGAATTTTTTCAAGGATGACAAGCTGGCTCAACAAAAAGTAAGTTCACACTGAAAGCTAGACCGAAAAATTCCTTTTGTAAAGTTCAGAACAAGTTTTGGCTGTGAAGATTCTGACACAAGTCAATTTAACAGGCATTTATCGAGTTCCTACCATGGGTAGCCTCTGTTATTTGCTCTGTCCCACTTTGCATCCCTCGGGGAACTCCTCCCCCCTAGTGAATGTCGGCCTCTAATCGAGCTGTCAGTCAGGCGGCTTGCCACACCTTCCCCCAGAGTAGTTCATCCACGTGAGCCAGTTAGATCATTCCATCTCTCTAGGTGCAGAATTCATCCAAGGACAATTGGGGACTGTTCCCCTTTGCAAGGTTGTTACAGTTTCTGAGAACAAGAGACTGTCTCTCATTCTTTGCTAGTTACAAAGTAGCCGCAAGAACCTGGAGCTTCTGTGTGGGATGAATCTGAGGGACCATGGAGCATCCTGCTGGCGACACCCAGTAGGCAGCTGGATCCGGGATGCAGTTATGGATTTGGGAATCAGTAGTGGGCTTCGAACAACAGTTTGAAGAAACTTCTGGGGTCCTGCAGTTTCCTAGAATATAGTTTAAGAGTACTAAGAACACAGGTAGGAAGTAAAAAGTAAAAACAACTGCTCAACAGATATACTGTGCTCCTGTTATGTGCTGCATCCTAGGTTAGGTGCTAGGGATCTAAATAAGAATGAGAATGATGTATCTTTCTGATAAGGAGATACAGAGTCAATGTACTTATTTGTTCCTGGTCCCTTAAGATTTAGGTGATAATGACGTTCAGTCCCTACACCATGACTCATGGAAGTCAAAGCTTTCCTGGAATGTTTTCTGGAGTCCCAGGGCCTGATGTTCCCAGTCACTCCTCTCTCCAGCTTCCTACTTCCACATGTTTCTATTGAGCAACAGCCTAGATGAGGAGCACGCTTAGGAACCCCAAAAGCATGTACCACCCATTCATTTGGCATGCATTGATGTTCTATTCATTTACTTGCGCTTGTGAATATCATAATTCTTCAAATGCACGATGGACTCAAGTGTAAACAGAGACTGCATCATGAGACCTCAGCAGTGGTGCTAAAGTCTTTGCTGATTAAGCCTTATTCCACTCATTCAACCTGCACTTCCCTTGAGTGGGCTCTCCCCTACTTTCTTTGTGCAAGTCACAGGGCAGTAGCTGCCCAGGTCACTAGTTACCCAGACCACCCCTCCCCCGCCAGGAGAGCAGCCACAGCATGTTCTCCTGTGGCAGCGCCAGCGGAAAGGACAGGCAAGAGTGTGTCCATTCAGAAACGCTGGTGCATTAGGTTAGGCTAAGTGACTGCAACAAATACATCCAAAAATGCTAAGCGGTACAAACATAATTGAAGTTTATCGTTCTCTCACAAAGCAGCCCGAGATTCGTGTTCTTGACTGGCTATGATTCTCCCCTGTAGTGATTCGGGGACCCAGGTTCCTTCTATCCCATGGTTCTAAGATACCTGTAGCCTCACCGCCATCTGTGTCTGTCAGTTACAAGAAAATGGAGCATGGAGGAGGCTCCAGGCTCCCTTAAAAACCAGGCCCAGAGGTAGCACGCATCACATGCATCCCATGGACACATTTACTGCAGGGTCAGATGGGAAAGGTAGTCCACGCAATACGCCTTGCCGAAATCCAATGGCTGTATAAAGAGAGAATGGGTGGTGGTGGACGGCACATGGACCTACCATCCTTGATGTATCCACTTTGATTAAGATCATCCCAGCAGCGAAAATAATAGGCAAGAGGCTCCATGCCCTCTCTTTTATCCCTTTTTATTCATTACTGAGCCCTTTCTCTCATGTTCTCAGGTTTCCTTCTATATAACCCCCTCCCGAGCTCCCCCTAATTCCACTCTCTTTTTGATTACAGGAAGGAAGGACTTCAATAATCTCTCCATTGAAATCATGGCTTTATTTCTAAGTATTTTACAGACCAAGTCATGAATGTCCAATTTATTCATTATCCCTACAAGCAAAATATAGCATGCAAAATATTCCCAGCCTTGCAAGACCACACCTAGAAACTCTTACAAGGCAACTTTTCCAAATGTATTGTTTATCTTGACAATTTCCCCCTTTTGAATACCTTCTGAAGCTTCTCTCCTGGTCAGCGCTCCCAGCCCCGTGTACACCTCTGCACCCTCAGTTCTAGCCCTGCACATGCCCCTTTATGAACTGAATTGTCCTCCACGACCCCAGTTACGCTAACCTGAATAAAGGCAGTGCACACACTTGTCAATAAATATGTATTAAGAGCCTACCACGTGCTTAGCGATGGGAAGGACACTGGAGATTGGAGGATGAAGAGAATATACTTGCAGATCACCAAGAATTTCCTGTCTAGCGTGGGAAACAGGTTATAAACAGGTATTTACAGCCTGCTGCTGTCAAGAGCTCGGCACAAGTCTCCATAAAACAAGAAGGAAGGAAGCACTGAGCTCTCCTTGAAGATGTCAGGGAAGTATTATTCACCAGAATTATCAGGTCCCCGGTCTGTTCGTAGTGCTAGGGTGGGCAGAGTGAAGGCCACGAGAGAAACGAACTGTTCCCACCTTGTCCTTGGTGAGCGTGTCATCTGCACGCATAGAGCTGTCACGTCCTCTGCAAGGCTGTAGAGTGCTGCGGCTCAGTGAAGAGGGATAGTAATGACGCCAAAGGCGAGGTAAGCTTCCCGCGGGAGGGTGAGACTTCAGCTGGACCTGGAAGATTTGTTTTCATTTGGGTAGGCTTTGTGTGTGAAG